GCGAGCAGATCATAGTTGATAAAGCGATGCAAGGTGCATCAAGCGCTGCAGGTACTGATATACCATTGATCCATGGTTTGCTTAAATGAACTCCTAGAAACAATGAGCAACTGGGTGGTGCTATACTGCTATACGCCGTGAAATTAGATATTGAAGAAATTATGTATTAAAATGAAGCAAGAAGCATCTACCCTGCAGGCGCTGCAATGCCACTGAGTCTTGACCCAAATAAATGTCTAACAGGCCGTTTGGAGCAAGCAAGCCTGCAGTACGCCGTGAAAGTTGGTCATAGAGTGGTTACAGTTGCACATAATAGATGAAATATGCATATTACGAAAGTAAGGTTAACAATAGACTTGCTCTCCAACAAATGCAACGCAAAAGCGTGCATTTTAGTATTTGAATTTGCAAAGAAGGCCCATCGCTGACTATTAAAAGATCGTAATGAAAATCACATAGTCAATGGGAAATAGTGTAAGCTCTACGATGCGACCGGCCGGCATCATGTTCACACACAAAAACGAAGTCTTCATAAATTTGAATGACGTTATTACTTGTAAAAACAGCTTCAGCGCAATGAACGAAAAATTTATGAAGACAACCGTCAGGTGCTGGGTGTATGGCCTTGACGAGTCAGAGCTGCGCCAGATGGCATGCATGAAAATGGAATCAATTTTTAGTATTGATAGGAACGCTGTGTTCGTTTCTTTTCGTACGTTTATGCGACTCCTCAATTTTACAGCCTTTGATTGTGATGACCGTTTGCAATTCTGTTGCTTCTGAAACACTCATGTTGAGGTAATTACTTTGAGCTTTGAGAGGGGTCATAGACGACGATTTTGGTACGCCTGGCTCTTTCAGTAAGGAAGGCGAAGTAGATAGCAGTAGCTCAACCGGCCGACCAAACACCAGACGACGAAGAATGACCCGGGGCAATTTATCGAAAAACTTTGCTTCGGACTCAGGTTATCTTCTGGAAAGGCTCAAACGCTGGTACAGTGTCGAGAATGTTGGATACATTCACTTTCACCTCTGTCACCGTGACTCGAAAGGATAAGCGGTCATCCAAACTGACCGACTGGTCACTTATACATGGAGAGGACCGAAGCAGAATAAACAGTGGTTGCTTATGGGTAGCGAAGCTACATTTAATAGTTTATCATGTGAGCGGCAAATCGTTGAACCTTTTTTACGAGGGTTGTTCGGTGCTACATTGTCAAAGTATACGGTTTCACTGAAACAAAGAATGCCACGGTTTGTCAGCCTTTTATTCCTACAGAGCAGTTAGAAATATTGCGTGATATTAAATGCGGAGAGTGGTCCCCTTCCTCCAGTAATCCTTTCGTTTGATCTTGTAGTGAACTCTATTCTCGTAGGTTAAATTCATTACAAGCATTGCATTTGGCCATCGCTAGCCATTCTAGCTGACTATTTGGAGTCTCGGGCGGGCCTTAGCTGCCTACCGACACTGTTGGTGAGAACATCCTTTGTCTACCTCTGCTCAGCATGCAACTTCAGCTGTAGCTGTGGCTTCCTCCTCACAATGTGGAAAGTTGTTTTAATTCCCGTACGGGCTTGTGTATGCATTAATTTAATGAGGGCAAAGCATGAAAATTTTCACGCGGTAGAAGGACATCGGTAATCGGCTTTAGTTCGACCAGCAGACGTTGGAAACGGCAGCTTTGCAAAGCATAGACAGCCTCTGAGGAATTATATGTTTCATTTGGAACGTTATTAAATAATTCAGAACACGACTACACGGCTTCAGTACAAGAAATATTTTTAACAGCTATCTCAAAGTAAATAAAGATTCCATTTTGGACCTCGTGACGTTTTTTAACAGATGCGCTTTCATTAAGACTGACACTTATCGCTGATCCATGCAGCAGGAGAAAGAATGACAGGCTAAAGTCCAAATGATTCAGATGCCCAAAACACCTGAAATGCGCTGGCACCTTTGAATCCAGCCAGCCCTTCGACAGTGCGTATTGGCAGAGTTCCGAAACCGTTAGAAAATTTATGCTACGGACTATAACCTGAAAAGAGCAAGAAGTTCTGAAAACGAACGGATGGAGAAAATGACGGTCCTCATGCTCTCTTCTTGTTTTCTTTGTGAAATTCAGCGTCAACAGGAGTGCGTATCCAGATGTGGTATTTTGTGAAGACGGCGCAGTGAGAATCACGATTACGACAGCAACAGATTGCTTACTATACTTATATTTAGCTCTGAAGAATCATAACTTTTGTAACTCGTAGGAGGTAAGAAGAGCAACTTTCTGCGACGTGCTAAGAAATCCTTATTTCTAAGACTCATACCGATACCGTGCTGTAGAACACGTCAAGGTGATGGGTCTTCTGATTCCATGAATGGCAACATGAGAAACAAGAAAGTAATTTTATATGCAAGAATTCCAACATTTCGACCAAATTAGCACAGGTCATTTTCCAAGTCATTCTCTGATGATGACTAATGCTAATTCGGTATAAACGTTTGAATTCTTGCATGTAAAACTATTTCCTTGTTTCTCGTACTGCCAATCATGGAATAAGAGGATTTATCACCTCCAAGAAATAATATTTACATTTTTTGGAGGTTTCAGTTTGTGGTAATTCCAGATGACCAGGTCATAGAACAGTTATTTGACAGAGAGCTCACGTACTCCTGGGATCACAAGTTGCATGGACCATACTTCGAAATCATTGCTCAGTCACACCTCTTACCTGATTGTACCTTGAATTAAATGAAGTTCACAGTAAAGTCAAATTCTCTTGATCATCTTCGTTCAGATTTCTAAGCATTAATGAAACGTCTTCTGTTTAGATTGCCCTAATTTGTAACTGAGTTTTACGGCACCAGCTTGGTGAACAGAAGAATTAAATTCCCGCCTTGAGGAAGCTTGAAATTGTGTTTCTGGTCAAGGTAGTCAAGGGACTGAAATGACTGTTCGTTCAGCTATGGCTCCTTGCTGTTATTACTATGCCTTTGCCATTGTAATAGCTTTCGACGGAAGAAAACCAGTTCAGGTTTTATTGTCTTCTATGATCATTAACAAACATATGGAATTGGTTTATGATGGATTTATAGATGAGGCCAATCAGAATGCACAGTCTGAAGAGTTGTAGTGGTCTGTACAGCTATTCATTCTCTGGGCCTCTGAGCGTTCATTGCAAACAGCCCGCGCTTCCTTTAAAGATTATACTGATTGTAGTCTTTCTTTTAGATGATTCCTTTGACGGCAGGAAATAGCAGCCGGCTCTCCTTAACTAGATATTTGGTAGCTGGTAGTTCTGACTACCTATTAAGAATATCTTACTGTTATTGTGGATACGTTCCATCATTATTCATCATGGAGAGTCATTCCTTCCATTGGCATTGGCCAATGTATAAAGCACGGATGCCAAGAATTTTAGATAGTTTGACGTTTCGTTTAATCTTTCTAGGGAATATTCTTCTTCTTAGTTCGTTACATCGAAGGCGATAGTAGATGCTGTCTAGAGAATATATTTAAATATGGTACTTTTTGATATTATCAATGAGCCAGGGCCTGCTTAAATGCCATTGGTAACTGGGACCAACGGATAGACGCGATACGTCATGAAATCCGATCTTGTGGGAGCTAGGCACTTGCCAGTTAATATGCTCCACAGTACCAACCTATATTTTTCATAGTTATGTTTCTTCATTAGGAGTATCAGCACTCGAAACATTACTCTTGATTAGCATGAGATTTAATTAGCGCATGAAATGATGCGAGTCGCATTCAACAATGCAGGCTGATATGGAGCTCCGGACTGCTTGAGGCAATTAGAAACAATGGGACGATGCGACTCATAATGAAATCTGGTCCTGAAAAAGTCAAGCACCCTAGGTTTGTGTAATGTATATTGGCAGTGAGATTATTCATCATAATCGAGACAGCGGAAATTTTTGCTGTGTGATGGTACGCTAGTGGATTCTTGATTTTACGGTCGAAACTTAGTCGGTTTGAGCCGTTCCAGAATAGATGAACAATACGAATGGTATCAGTACGCCTTGGATGGTATTGGAAGGTTCCCTAAAGATTCTTGCCTTTGCAGGTAAAATAGGCATTCTTGATTGATCAAGTCAAGAGTTCCACGAAAGAACGATACCTTATACGATATCCATGATGGAAGTAGTTAGCAAGGGAGCAATCGATCGCAGTCGTTACAAGTCTGCGTCTCTTCAAGTCTCACTGTACGTTGTTTCTGTAACGGTATCGAAAGGATGCAATTTAAGGAGTAAATGAAAGGAAAACTTATGGATGAGCTTTATGTCTGTCGTACAACCATACGTATTGTGTCTTTCGTCTTTTTCCTCTGCCACATCAC